TCTATTGGATCACTTTTTAAAAAGTAGAATGAAATATGCTTGCTTATATAAATAGATAATTCCATAGTTGAATGTTTTCAGAGACAACAGATGGGAGAGAGGGGGAAGAAGGGTGAGAGGGGAGAGAGAGGAAGAAAAGGGAGGGAGGAGAAAGTATGATAGGCATCAAGAGTGGCAACACTAAAGATAATAAGGAGCCTGGAATGGAAGCTACAGCAGAGCTGGTTTTCTGCCATAGTTAATGGTGACAGCCTACAGCTGCTGCCAGGACACCAACTGAGCAAGGTGGTTATGAACTAGGTCAAGACAATTCCTGAAGTGTGCATACAAGCCCCTGAGCTTCAAACCTCACAGCTTTAAGCCAATGTTCCTAAGTTTCCAGTCCTCCCAATATTGGCTATTACCTCCCAAGGTTTGATCTCACACCAGATCTCTAGTTTGGCCATAATAGGTGTTGTTGCTGTTTGTATAACTAAAGCAAGAAGGGCATCCTACATTCTCTTGTTTCTTTACACCAGAAGATCTGTCTCTTTCCACTGGTTTGCTCAATTCAGTGGGGAGAGTAGCCAATCCCTTGCATATTGTTGAGACTGGCCAATCCCCTTGTGAAATTATAGATAACCAATCTTCTTGTGGATGGGTTAACACGTCCCATTCACATGGCGAGGGCCCATCAACATAAAAAAGTCAAATGATGGTTAGAAAAAGTCATATTGAAAGATAAACTCCACACATGGCTAAGAGTAACACGAGGAGCTGCCTTGCTCCTCATCATAACATGATCCTGATCATAAGTCATAGTCCATTACTTCCTTAATAAAACACTTAACTATAGGTATTGTCTGTGAGTTCTGTGTGCTCCTTTCAATAAATTATTAAACCCAATAGAGTAGAGAGTATCGTGAGAGGAGTACTAGTGTAAAATAGTGAGGAGGAAGTTGGACAGTAGCTATATATCTGGCCTCCATCCCACAGAAACTAACTTGTCTTGATTCTGTTCTTCTCTCTCAGAAATCTCAACTTGTCCTGACACTAACATACAAAGACGTAGCAGAAATTAAGTGGAGAGTGCGTCGTAACACCTTTCTTTATTTGGATTGTTAGTTTAAGTATCTTTAAATTATGTTAAATGAGAAAACGAATCTCTTATATATAAATTAGCATTTTTAAGGAAATAGATTGTAGCTGATGTTAGATGGATCTTGGCTGAAAGCAAGGAGTACCAGAAGAATGTCTAGCTTTGTTTCATTGATTTCACAAAGGCATTTGACTGTGTGGATCATAACAAACTGTGGCTAACTCTGAGAAAAATGGGAATCCCAGAACACTTGATTGTGCTAATGTGAAACCTGTACTTGGACCAGGAGGCAGTCATCAGAACAAAGCAAGGAAATACTGCATGTTTCAATATCGGGAAAGGTGTACACCAGGGATATATCTTGTCTCCATACCTTTTCAATCTTTATGCAGAACAGATTATCCGGGAGGCTGGGCTCTATGAGAAGAAATGCAGCATCAGGTTTGGAGGAAGAATCATCAACAATCTGCCTTATGCAGATGACACAACCCTGCTTAGTGAAACTAAGGAGGACCTGAAGCACTTGCTATGGAAGGGAAGAGACTGACGTCTTCAGTATGCATAGAGACTCAGTATCAAGAACACAAAGATTTTCACCACTGGGCCGATTGGCAGCATCATAATGGATGGTGAAGAGATTGAGATTGTTCACAGTTTTGGTTTGCTTGGATCCACAGTCAACACTCTTGGCACCAGAAGTCAGGAAATGAAAAGACATATTGCGATGGGAAAGTCTGTGTCTAAAGACCTCTCTAGAGTGCTGAAGTGCAAAGATGTCAGTCTGGAGACTAAGGTGTGCCTGAGACACATCATAATCTTTGCAATCACTTGTTATGCATCAGAGAGCTGGACAATGACTAGGGATGCTAGAGGGAGAATTGATGTCTTTGAGTTGTGGTGTTGGAGAAGAGTGTTGAATTTATCATGGGCTGCTGGGAAAACAAACAGGTTTGTCCTGGAAAGTGTAAAGCCGGGATGCTCCTTGGAGGCAAGGATTCTGAAGCATCATTTGACATACTTTGGACACATTGCAAGGAGGGACCAGTCCTTGGAAAGGGACGTCGTACTTGGGAGGATGGAGGGATAGCACAGGAGAGGAAAACCCTTGATACGATGGATTGATTCAGTGACTGAGGGTAGGTGTGTCAGAGATGGTGAGATTGGCACAGGATAGGGCAGAGTTTAGGGCTATGAGTCACATAACAACAACAACAACAACAATTGACTTTTAAAAAAGTCATATGATACAGGAACAATGTGCACCTCAGAATAGTCAGCTCTATGAGTCCCAAAGGAAAATTTGTTCAAGCTGAAATTTAGAAGATAAGTAGGGTCAGGGAAAATGGACAAATAAAAACAGTGAATATAAGGTGGAAATGAGGAGAATAGAGCCCATTATAGATATAATAACTAATGTTACAGTATCATAGAAAAGGCTATGTTGATGTCAATCTAAAGACTAAGGCATGACATTCTCCATAGTTTACATGAATCTGAAAATTAAATAATGACTCAAGGCAACAGAAGAAAAAAATAAAGAAGGGATGCCTTTAAATTGTGGTGCTAGAGAAGAGTATTGAACCATGGACTGCCAGAGAATACACAGGTCTGTCCCAGAAAGGATGAAACAAGATCGTTTCTTAGAGGAAATGATTTTGAAATTCTGTCTTACAAACTTTAAGCATCTTACAGGGAGGGACCAGTCCTTGGATAAGAACAGCAGGCTTGGAAGAGGAAGATTCTTGATGAGAGAATTGACACAGTAATTGTGGCAATGGGTCAGGTGTGTTGCAGATGGTGAGCTTGGTTCAGGATGGAGTAAGGTTCAAAGCCATTGTTCATAGCGTCACTATGACTCATAGCCCACTCGACAGCATGTAACAAAAACAATTTGCTGAATAGGAAAGGAATTTGCTTTAAAAACTTTCACCTAAACTACGTTAAAATTTAAATATATGTATATATAGCTGGCCTAGGGTAAGAAACTTGTGCCACAATCTCGAAGGTACGTAATCCAAATCCACCAGCTTCTCCACTGGAAAAGGATGGGCAATCTCCTCCCATATGATTAACTGCCTCCAAAAACCTTTCTATGGGCTACTTCTGACTGCATGGTACAAAACACCACCACATGTGTTTTTTTAAACGTGATATACATTAATATTCCAGAATATAGAAATAAAAGTACAGCTATAGGAGGAAAATATGTAAAAAAAAAATCTTTTTTTATTTCAATACTATGTTCAGTGTTCTTGTTTTTGACTGCTGATTCAATTATACTATAGAATAACTGTTTTGTTTTCATTATCAAATTAGTGGCATATTTTTATTCTTTTTAAGAAACCATAGTAAAACAAAGAGATACGCATCTATGGCCAACTGATTTTTGACAAGTTGGTAAGTGCACTTAATAGAGCAAAGAGTAATTCTTTACTTAATAGTGCTGTGGCAATTTGGCTTTCTTAGGCAAAAGAATGAAGCAGAATCCATACCTCATATATATGAAAATTAATGTAAAATGGATCAATTACCTATGTATAAATAAGAAAATTATGAAACTCGTAGAAGAAAGTACAGGAGTAATGTTTTGGAATTTATTTTTTACAATAGGTATAACACTGAAAACAGAAGAAATAAATTACAAATAGATAAATGAGAATAAAAATGAACGCGCGTGTGTGTGTGTGTGTGTGTGTGTGTGAGAGAGAGAGAGAGAGAGAGAGAGAGAGAGCGAGCGAGTGAAGTAAAGGATATTATCAACAAGGTGGCGTAAATAATTATGGATCACATCTAATCAGTTGACCAGGTAGCTGTCCTCCAGATTTCTTGCGACTACCTGGTGAGTAGGTCCAGGGCAGCATCTGTTTGTTGATATATGTTAATTGGTATGCCATCAGTTCCTGGGGCCTCGGTTTTTGCTAATTTCTTCAGAATAGCTTGAATTTCCTCCTCCATCATCACTGTCTCTTGATCATATGTTGTTGAAATTCTTCTATGTCAACAAATTCTTTCTGGTACAGTGACTTTGTGTAACTCCTATCATCTTCTTTTGATGCTTCCTGTGTCATTCAACATTCTGCATGTAGCATCCTTAAGTATTACAACTCGAAGCTTGAATTTATTCTTCAGTTCCTTCTGCTTAAAAATACTGAGTGGGTTTGTTCTTTATGATTTTCCAACCCCAGCTCTTTGCAGATTTCATTATAACCCTTCATTTTGTCTTCCTGAGCTGCCCTATGAAATCTTCTGTTCAGCTCTTTGATTTCTTCCCTTTGCTTTGGCATCTCAGCACTGTAGTACAATATTCAGTCTTTTCTGACATCTGTCTTGGTCTTTTCTTCATCCTATCTTTTATAATTATTATTAATTTTAATGAAAATTTATAGAGACTTTAGATTTCCATTTACTCATTGTTGCACTTTTCTCCCCCCCTCCCCGCAGTACACTCTTCTCTTTGAAAAGTAGAAGATGTAATCTTTGTAATGACCTTTTATACTCTTCATGGATGATATTCTTAATATCGTCACCAGCTCATCTGCTCTAATTAGTGTTCAAGACCTCAAAACTGTTACTGAGATGGTGTTTAAATTCAGGTGGGATAAACTTGACATCAGATTTGTTTCTTGTGGATTTGATATTATTTTCTTTAGCTTCAGTTTGAACTTATATGGATAGTTGGTGGTCTGTTCCACAGTCAGCACCTGGCCTAGTTTTCAAAGCTGATATTGAGTTTTTCCAATGATTTTTTGCACAGAGGTAGTACATTTGATTCCTATGTAGACCATCAGGTAAAGTTCATGTGTATAGTTGCCTTCTGTGTTTCTTTTTGTTGTTGTTGTTATTAACAGGTGATCCTTTATTGATATATTTTCATCTGTAGTTATTAGCTAGCTGAGCACCATAAAACACCACTCTTGATGTCTTATGTGATGTAAAAAGAGTGACAGCCATCACCATTGCAATTCACAGACTGGAGAGTTCCCAGGATGTCTTTAAGAGTTCCAGGAAGTTCTCTGGCTAAATATCGGTGTTGCTTCTTACAGGTAATGTCTACAATCTCATAAAAATTTATATTCTCTCTGTGTTTAATCTTCTTCTGCTTCTTTCTGTCTCTAGGTTGTTCCTTTATAGCTTTCATGACCAGGGAAGAGGCAAAAGGCACCACCTCCATCTGGGGCTGCCCGTTCTGAATGGTCAGTTTCACAGAAATCTCTAGTCTCCTTCGATCACCAGTGGCTTTGGCGATGTCATCACTGACCTTTTTTGCAGAGAGACTGATCTTGGGAGCCAGAGTGGACATGGCATTTAATTCCCTCTTTTTGGGATGGGTCACTGTGAGTCTTATTCAACTTGATGACACTTAACCACAGCTAAATGAGACTAGTGCTGTTATATCTGGAGGAACATTCTTCCACTTTGTCCATCACTCTTTGCCAATGTGCTATATGGAGTAACCTGGGTTTGCAGTGATGTTGAACCTTGTGCCATCTGGGTATCAAATACCATAATGACTTCCCCATGTGGACAGCATTTGGTGGAGCTCCCAATTGTAAAACAAGTTTGGAAGGAGGCATGCCATCCATTTCCTAAACCACATGCCTCTGGAAACTATAAATTTGGAGAAATTACGATACTTCTGAAAAGGCATGTCTCTCGTCAAGATATACTTCAAAATTTCTGCCAGACTATCTTATATATGTGCCTTATTGCTGCCTCTTGTCAGCTCTTCAGTATTGGCACAGCATATGCCATTACTACTGTAATAGCTGTGGCAAAGGGGTTAGGTGTTTCAGAGGTAATGAGGTTGGCTAAGCATTCTTCATAGGAGCACTATGAAATGTCTTATGAAAGACATTGGTTGCTAGGTCTTTTGTTCATAGAGTCACTATGGGTCATGCTCTACTCAATGGCAATCAACGCCACCACCACCACCTCCTCAGGTACACGACTTTGATTTCATTGGGCTCAAACTTGGGCAACATGGCAGAGGTGGATGATGTCCCATGAACTGAAATGTGAGACAATCAAAGAAAGTTGCACCTGTTCTTCCTCCAAACCAAAAGCCATTTGTGTTTCTTTTAAAAGGCTTTTACAGTAAATAAAATAGTTGATTGTACAGAATTCTATCAGTCTATCTCAAGTTCCATATCTTCCACCAAGTTCATGTTTCTTGACTACTGATCCTTCTTCCCTGTTCCCAACTTTTGCATTCCAGCCACTCATTATTATTAATTCATTTGGTTGCAAGTTTGATAAATTTTTGACTGTAAAAGTTGGTAGAAGTCATCTATTTCCCCCTTTTTTTGACTCTGGTTGTTGGTGCATATATTTGAATGATAGTTTAAAATGCTGACCTGAGAGAGTGTGGAAATTATTGAACAATATAATTAATATCACCTACAAGCAGGATCTTCATGAAGATTATCCAAAAATTACTGGAACAAGTACATCAGCAGAGAACTCTCAGAGGTGCAAGCTGGGTTTAGAAGAGGCCATGGCACTAAGAACATTCTAGCCAATGTTAGATGGATTTTAGTTGAATGTGGAGAGTATCAAAGGAATTCCTATCTGTGTTTCATAGACTATGCAAAGTCATTTGTCTGTGTGGGTCATAACAAATTGTGGCTAACCTTGGGAAAATGGGGATCCAGAACACTTAATTGTGCTCATGTGAAATCTATAGTTTTACCAGGAAACAGTCGTCAGAGCAGAGCAAGTAAACACTGCATGGAATATAATTTTGCCAGCATAATGTTCTGAATCCAAGTATTGCCAATATATAAATTCTACAATCCTTCATTGATAATTCATTGCTGTATGGAAGTCATAGTTCCTTATTACATATGTAATTATAAAAATTTCCCCTTTATTCATGATTGACTCCTAGTTTCCTTGAATGTCATAAAAAATTCACCTCAGTGAAAGTGAAAATAAAAATCTTGGGTCAAATAGTATGCAAGAGAGACATGCGGAAATTTGTAGACACCTTTTATTACTTTAGCTTTTGACTAAATTATCTAGATGATTACATAAAACATCTTTGTGCTTTAATATTTTCTTTCTTTTTGCAAGAAATATGTGATTATATGATTATTTAGATTTCTCTTTAATATCATTACATAGATATAATTTTTGTTGTTATATGTCATTGTGTCAACTACAACTCATAGTGCTCCTATGAAGAATCCTTAGCCAACCTCACTACCTCTGGAACACCTAACCCCTTTGCCACAGCTATTACAGTAGTAATGGCATATACTGTGCCAATACTGAAGAGCTGACAAGAGGCAGCAATAAGGCACATATATAAGATAGTCTGGCAGAAATTTTGAAGTATATCTTGACGAGAGACATTGGTTGCTAAGAAGCAAGACAACACACAAACCATACTCAAAGTGAAATAAGATGACTCAATCTGTCTCTCTCTCTTCATCACTGTACGTATAAAGAAAACCAAAAGATCTCTGTTAATCTTGAAAAAAAAATGCTGTAATCATTGTGTTTATTTGTTTTTGCCAGACTCACACAAAAGATTCAATCCCTCAACTATAATCTTTTAACATGAAAAGAGATTTTTGAAATTAAAATTTTTCTCCCAAATTCTGTGTAGATTTTAAAGTGATTTAAACTAGAGGCAGTTGATTGTTCTTCGCATCAATATCTTATGTTGTTGTTATGTGTCACTGAGTCACCTATGGCTCATAGTGATCCTAAGTACAATAGCTCTATCTGAAAACTGCCGTATCCTGAGACAGTCTCACTGACTCCCACACATCTACCCTCATTACACAGTAATAGTGACAATCCATCTCATCCAGGGTCTTCCTCTTCTGTACACTGTCCCTCCAACATTCCAAGCGTGATATCCTTCTCCAAGGACTGGTCCCTCCTGGCCACATGTCCAAAGTATGTGACATAGAGCTTCAAAATTGTTGTCTCCAAGGAGAAAGCTCTCCAATACAGACCTGTTTGTTCGCTTGGTGGTTCACGGTATGTTCAATACTCTTCTTCAGCACTACAACTCAAAGGCATACATTTTCCTCTGCCCTCTAGTCATTGTCTAGCTTTCTGATGCATGTTGTTGTTGTTGATTGCTGTTGAGTTGAGCACAATTTATAGCAATTCAATGAACAGAAGACCTGAAGCCTTTTGCTACTATCATAGAGTTTCCAGAGGCATGTTGCTTAGGAAGTGGATGCCACTTCTGCTTTTCTGTTTCTCAGCTTATTCCGGTCCCTTGGTGAACCTACCAGTTTGAAAGTCTCATTCCTAAATTTGAGAATAGTTTAAAAGTCTAAATAGTTGAAGGTCTGATAGAATTCTAAATGACTTTGTAATTACTAGATATATCTCTTCTCTATTACTTTCTCATCTCTATTTTTCTATCCACCTCCTTTTCTTTCTGTATTCATCTCTGTCTCTTCTCTTGTGGCCTAGTGGGTAACAACTTGCACTGCCAACTCAAAAGCAGGTAATTCAAATCCACCAGTTGTTCTATGGTAGAAATATAGGAAATTTTTTCTTGTAACTTGCACAACGCACTGGCGAGTCAGCTATGAGTTGATTCTGACTCAATTACACATAATAAGAGCAAAAAATCTAAAAAATATGGTAATATGTCTTTGACTAATCATATGATTTAAATCCTGAGGCTCTGGGATTCTGTGAAAGTCCATTAGTCTACTGGAGATTAAAAAAAAAAAAGGATGAGACATTATAGTTCTGAGTACCCTTACTAGTTTTTGCCGTTCGCATAAAGTTCCCACTGAGCAGGAAAAATTACTTTATTAAACTGTTCATACAACCACATAATTTTCCTGAAAAATTTTCTTCAATTATTTCTACATTAAGAATGAAATTGAATTCCTGTACAAAGCCTAACCCCCCAACACACCTATATATGATCTTTTCTTTGCCTAATATAAATAGTTTTCATTTATTACACTCCAGTATCTTACTCTTGTACTTTTTTCAAGTAAACTGCTTTTTCCTCCACAGACTTTCCTGATATTCTCACTTCTGTTTAGAGAATTTAGTATGAAGTCCATTGTTTGAATAGGTTCTTTCCACCTTTGGGTTTCTATTGTTGAAATGATACCATTAATTAAAAGTATTATTTGATTTCTATTATTTTGACTTCAGACAATTATTTACCTCTGTCAGGCATTTATTATCCTTTGTGTTTTTTTTTTTTCTTGTTTTATCCAAATATGAAAGCTCCATGAAGGTGGTGAAAGTATCTGTATCATTTATTGTTTTGTTCCAGTGAGTAGTAGCATTTTCCCTGAATATAGTAGGAACCTATTACGTGTTTATTAGAATACTAAAATATGGTCATTTTATATTATTTTGGAGAACAAAAAAATTTCCCATAATTATGTCAGTTTTTTTATTTTAAAATAAAATAGAAAAAAATTTTCCGCTCTAGAAGTAGACTAAATTTCAGAAAATGAAGTGAAATGGGAAGAAGAAAAACCAGATAATTCAGTGATAAAAAGTCTCATTTTTACTGTCTTTCACAGTTAAGGTAATAAAATAAATATATATACTTATTATTTAAGGAGCTCTTGTGGTGCCCGGTTAAATGATCATGCACTTTGTCATGTAGGATGGCTATGAATTGATATCAACTAGATTCTATGTATCAACACCACTACGATTTAGGCACTTTTGAAGAATAAGGAAAACAAAGAGACAAACATATTTTAAAACGAATTATTCCACTGTATAAGAAGAAAAATTTTTTGCTTGTCTATTTAGATAATAAAATAATGTGAACCTAATGGTACAATATATCAAAGACATTTTAAGAGGTGACTCTTTCATTGACCTTTCTTTGTGTTGTTCTCTTCCCTTTTTCATTTTGCTAGGCAGAGTGAAGAAACTTTTTCCATTTAACTCTTAAGTTCACTCTTTGCCATGTTCTACTTCTAATTAAAAACGTCCTACTGACCCATAACCAGTGGGGTATCAACTTCAAGTTGTTTTTCTCAGGTAGGGGTTATGAATTAAATGATATTCTTTTATGGTCTCCATTTGTCCTTTTGTATGTATTAATAAGATGTGATTGAGGATAAAGGTGCCACCAAAGGTTGCTGCAGCAGCAATTTTCTCTCTGTGAAAATAACTGTGTTTTGAACCGTAAGATTGACTTTGTTAATAACATGATCTCATGAACTTTTCTAAAGCCAGGCACCCACACAAACTCTCCTTTTTCCTCTTTCTCATCTGGGAATAAGACCTTCCTGGTGTTCTTTTTATCAGCACTTGAAGCAAAAGCGTAAATCCTTACATTTAATAACCACACAGAAAACTTAGGTGTTTATTTTATATGCTAGGATTCAAAAATATAAAATTGTTAATATTCCTTGTTATTTTACACCAGGGACTTCTAAAATGTTATCTTACTCTAATTTTAAAGCTGCATTGATAGTCTTAACTATTGCTTTAAATGTAAAAATATTTGTTAATCATAGTGCGTATAATAAAAACCATTTCATGATCACAGGATGCTCAGTTTAATGTGTTACCAAATACGAAGGAGTAACTTGTTTATAGATTATCTTCCACATTTTCAAACTCCTAATCTCTTGGCTATGAATTTTGCTCAACTGGACAGCGTCTAACAATGATAACAACCTCTTTAAGATTTTATCTTCATATAAGGGTAAATATTCAAAAATGTTATGCCTTGTTTAGATATTTGCATTCACTTTTTAAATAACAGCTTTTGAGACGTAAATCACCTAAAATAATTGCAGAGTAATTATCCATCTTGGTGATAACTACTTTATCAAGAAATCATTCTCAAATTTCCCTCCAGCTCATTTGTTGTCATCCAACCTGCCTCCTCAGCCTCATGCAACCACTCATCTGTTATCTGTAACTATTGATTGGTTTCACCACTTCTAGGATGTCAAATAAGTTGAGTCCTATTCTATGGAATATCATTAATTAGATTTTTATTAGAATAATGCTTTTG